CCAGGGAAAACAGACGGTTTCTTCCGGTGGTCTCATAACACTGTGTTTGTTGGCACCAGGCAGTTGGAAGAGGTTGTTAATTCTCTGGGGAGGTTTTAGGGAAGATCTGTTAGAGATCTGCAAAATTGAATGCTAAGCTGCGTGTGCGTCTGTACACATGTACGTTCTCGTGTCTTGCTTTGCTGTTGGTTGAGGCTACAAGCGCAGACCATGGGGATGCAAAGGATGGAGCAGAAAGCTGAAATCGGGGCCTGCGGATGGTTTGCAGATGTCAGTTCTGTATTGCACCATGACGGGGGTACCCCGAGGGAGAGAAGAGGAGCAGAGGGAGAGGAGAGAATCCAGAGGGTCCAGCTGGTGGAATGGAGCTCCCATTTCTCAGCTGGAAAAGTTAACATCCCTCACTGCGGGTTCTGGAATGATTCCGGTGGAATGCAGCAGCTGTTGGGGTTTGTGTAGGTGCCCCAGCCCGGGCCCCTCGTCAAGTATAAATTTGTGGAAGAAGCTGCCGTAGCCCAATGGGGGGAGGACTTGGATTTCCTTTTTTCCTCATTCTTGCTACAGATGGGGTAGTTATTTTAAGTAAGTGATGTGCTGCAGTGAAAATGGGCAACTCTTTTTCATTTTTCAGCTTAATGAAAAAAAAAAAAGGGAGGAGGAGAAACCCCACTAGCCAGCTCCGTGCTAATGCTTGTCTTTTTTGGATTCTAAATGCGTCCCCAGATACTGAGATGGGATAAATATTTCAGCCACTAGAAAGTCCTGCGTCGGCCTGAAAAGATTTCTAGCCTCTTTTAAAGCGGACAGGGTAGAGATTTACTGGTGTAAGTCTAGACATGCCCATGTCCCCTGTTTTAACTATCTGTGTGCAGATCCCACTCACATACTGGGGAAATGGTGCAAAGGGGCGGGGGGTGGACATTTGCAAGGAAGAGTGTGGGAGATGGGGAAGGAGGTAGTGATACCACACTTGGTTTTCTTAGGGTGGTTACAGATATTCACTGGCATCCTGTACAGTGGCACTGCCTGGGCTGAGGGGCTGAGTGACGTGGTGCCTCTCTGCCTACAGGGGGCGTTCGTCTGGTTGAAGGGGTTAGTGGAAATGCACCCATAAGGTGGGGAGAACTCAGAACAAGACCAGAGGGAAAGGCAGGGGGCCAGCTTCATTTTTGTGGAATGACTTGTGACTTCAGCTGAGGTCTGAGGGTGAACAGGTTGGATTGGGCTGCAGGGGCTGCCATGATACAGAGGAGCTTAAACCACAGGATTTCACTATCTCGAAGTTCTGGAGGCTGGAGGCCTGAGGTCAAGGGGCTGGCAGCAGGGTGGGTTTCTTCTGAGGCCTCCCTCCTTGGCTGGCCCTCTTCTCCCTGTGCCCTCATGAGGTCTCTCTGTGCGTGTTCCTGTCCTAACCGCTTCCCATAAGGATGCTGATCATATTGAGTTAGGATCCACTTTAATGACCTCATTTTAGTTCTGTTACCGGTTTAAAGACCCTGCCTTTAAATACAGTTACCCTGGGGCATTAGGGGTTAGGACTTCCACATATACATTTTGGGAGACAAAATTTGGCCCCTAATACCAGGCAAAAGAGGGACCAAAGCGTCTGGGGGGTCAGCAGCCAGAACATAGGAACCCTCTCAGCAGAGAAGACGTTGGTGTGATCAAGGGAAGGGTTCAAAAGGAAGGTCCAGGAGTGGGCAGGGGTGGTGTCTTGCTGGGCTTTGTAAACCTGGCAGGAGGATTTTTCTTTTTTTTTTTTTTTCGGATTCATCCTAAGGCCAGAGAAATCACCAGCTGCATTTAAAACCTCACTCTGTGTGAAGAGAAGGAACTGGAGGGCGTGAGAAGTGGCATTTGGCAGATCGGCTTAAACCAGGGTTCCTCTGCCTCGGCATGATTGGCATTTCTGGCTGGAGATTCTGCTGTGGGAAGCTGCCCTGGGCACCCCAGGAGGCTTAGCAACACTCCTGGCCTTTACCTGCTAAATGCTAACGGCCCCTGTACAGTGGCACTGCCTGGGCTGACAATCCCAAACCATCTTCAGACCCTGACATTTGTTCCCTGGGGGGTCACGATTGTCCCTTATCTGGAACCACTGGTTGAAACAGGTCAAGAGACGGTAATGGCTTACTTTGGATGGTGCCAGTTCCGTGAGCATATTGGGTGGGTTTGAGGAAGCTTTTGAAGAATCAGCAGGGTTTGACGTCTCTTTTCCTTGATTTCCCCTTATGTCAAGTTTGAGGCCATCACTTCTCTAAAGCACCGGCTGTGTGTCCCCGTGCATGGCACTGCCCAGAAGAGCACAGAGATGTGGGCTCTCTCTTACCTTCACCGGGCCTGGGAGCCCGCGGCTGGCAGGGCCACCTGTGGATAATGGATGTGGTATTTAGTCTCTGCATCCACCCATTCATTTGTCAAGTCCATGTGCTGCCAGATTTATTGACTCGTATTGCACGCACCGCGGAATCTAATCTGGCCAATTTTCTGGTTCCGGAAATCTGTTTATCAGAACAAGATTTCACAGTTGTCGTGACTTCTCCAGGGGGCTTGCCTTTGAGGAGGGGTGAGTGCTACAAAAGCAAGTTTAAGTGAATTCCAAACAAAAGAGAAAGACGGTTCTGCATTCCGGAGCTCCGCAGAGCGCTCTGCTTGCTGTGAAGCCTGGAGCAGGAGTTAGGAAACAGCTGGATGTGTGTCGTTTCTGGTTTGAGCCTTTGGTGTTGGGCAGGGATCCAGCAGCTGGATGCCCCTCTAGTTTCCTCCCCGTCACACCCCCTGAGAGTGACTTGGTTCCATGCTCTTCTTGGGGTTGATGATGACTTTCTGGAGTTGTTTTCAAGAGGGATTCTAATGTTGAGCCTGGGCTCGATGGGACAGGGTGTGGGGATTGATTAGTGATGTCTCATTGGGTGGTAGAATAAGAGAAATAGCAGCACAAATACATTGGCAATTCCCAGCAGAGCTGTGTGCATTTTTTATTCCAGACCTTTCTGTGCCCTGGGCTGCCCCTTCCCGCACTATGTCTTTGCTGGTGCTGTTCTCTAGGCCTAAAGAGCTCTTATTTTTTTTTTTTATTAATATTTATTTTTTAGTTTTCGGCGGATACGTCTTTGTTTGTATGTGGTGCTGAGGGTCGAACCCGGGCCACACGCATGCCAGGCAAGCGCGCTACCGCTTGAGCCACATCCCCAGTCCCAAGAGCTCTTATTTTTAATGTCTGTGTACCCATTAGCAGCCACGATAAATGTCATCTCTTTGCTGGAATCTTTTTTGATTCCCTTGAATTTTGACTAAGGAAACTGGGGAGTCATTCAGTGACTTTTATGGTAAAGTAGTGACACGTTCCATTTGCTGTGTAGAAAGATCCTTTCAGCCACAGAAAGGTGACTGGATTGGCGAGAGGCAAGATAGGAGGCAGGGAGACCCGAGGTTGAGGTAGGCAGAAATCCCAGGAAGAGAAGGTGGCTGCTTGGGCTGGAGTGGCCGCTATGGCGACGGCAGCTCGGTGATGGGGCAGAGCAGTGAGGAAGGGACAAGTGAGATTTCTGATGTGGGTAGTTGGGCAGAGCGGAGCCCCCGCTCTGGCCTCTCTTCTGGAGCTCTCCGTAGGGAGACGGGATGTGCAGTATTGGCCCCGATGGGCAGAGGGTCTCTGAGGGAATGTCCAGCCCTGGAGCCAGAGCTGACATGGTGCTGCCAACCCGTGGTGGTGTCCTTTCCAATTGGTCATGTCTGCTTGTTCCTATTGTCAAATACTCTTAGTCTCACCCCACAAGCAGCATCAGCAGGCAACCGGGGAAGCGCTTATCCGTGCTTGGAGAAGCCAGGGACACTTCAGGAGGAAGGTTGCCCAGGAGGAGCCTGCTGAAGGGTGTGAGGGGACTTAGCAGGAGACCCAGTGGGTAGGGGGCATTCCAGGTGAGACACCAGCACCTACAAAGGGTAGAGGCCTTTACAGGAGTGAAACCCTTTGTGTGCCTCTCCGCCTGTCCAGCTGACCAAAGGATCCCAGCCTTGCGCCTTTGTCTTGGGGACCTAGCACACATGTGGGCCAGTGTGTCCAGTAAGTGCTTACTGAATGACTCGGGAGGGAGCCCTGGAGTGACAGGAGTGCTGAGGGAATGGCCATTTTCCCCCTCCTTTCTCCCCAAGACTGTTTCACTTCCAGATGGCTCCTTATCCGTCCGTAATTGATCACACCGGCTCAGACTGAGCCGACCCATCAGATCCTGGCCCCCAGGGTTATCCTGTCAGATGAGGGCTCAGTGTTAGATGAGGACCATGCCCCACTGCCATGGAAACACCCTCTCTGTTTGTTTTCTTGCCTGAGGGTGGTGTCGGGTGGAGGCCTTGGCACTCTATGACTCTATTCAGTGGCATTGAACCTGAACTCTGGGGCTCCGTTCTGAATCTCCAGGAACTCTTGGCAGCCAGCGTAGTGACCTGCGTAGCCTCTTGGCAGGTTAGAAGGCCTGAGTTCAAGTTCCACCTTGGCCCGTCCTCCCCATTAGACCTCAGGCAGGTTGGGGTGCAGATCTGAGCATCTTGTTTCCTAGAGTGAAGCCGTGCCTTGGTCTTCCTGCCAGCTTGGCCCAAGTTCAAGGGCTCTGCGCCTGGAAGGATTGTGCGCTTCCTGCCCTTGGAGATTCGGGGAGTCCAGTGCACTCCTATCTGGGACTTTAATTGTCGCCGCTGCTGCTGGCTAGGAAAGAACATTCGGGTTTCCAACCAATCTTTTGGATGTTTAGAAAGAAAGAAGTCAGGAAGCACTGATTTTGTGGCCAGACACCCAAATGCTTTCCCCAGATTTTTCCATGTAACCCTTCCAAGGTCCTCGGCGGTGAGCTGGGGCAGATCACAGGCAAGGAAACCGAGGCCCAGAGGGGCAAAGACATCTCCTGGAGGCCTCACCTGGGCAGTTTCAGCAGGGAGGGGGCTCAGGTCCTGGCTGCTGTGGCTGCTGTGCCCTCTGACCCCCTGTCCCCTCTCTCCCGCAGAGAGCCAGCTGCTTCCCGGGAACAACTTCACCAACGAGTGCAACATTCCAGGCAACTTCATGTGCGGCAACGGGCGGTGCATCCCGGGCGCCTGGCAGTGCGACGGGCTGCCCGACTGCTTCGACAAGAGTGACGAGAAGGAGTGCCGTGAGTGGCCCTGCCCTTGGCTGTGGGTGGGGGTGGGGTGGGTGAACTCAGGGGCCCGCGGGGGAGGAGCCCCTGATCCAGCTTCCACCCTGCACCCTGTTTGCTGCAGCCCGGTGGGGTCAGGGCTCTGGCTGGCTGTCCTGCCCTGCCCTGTGTGTCCCTGTGTCTCAGAGCAGCATGGTTTGTGCAGAAACAGGGATCTTGATGGTGGTGGAGCCTCGACTCGGGAGAGCAGAGGAGGCTCTGAGTGAGGAGGTGGGGCCCCAACTCTGCTGTCCCCTTCACTTTACGTGCCAGCCCTCTGAGAACCCTGGGGTCCATGCAGCTTCTGGGTCTCAGAGCTGGAAGTCGCAGCTCTGGCCTCAGAGCCAGGGCTTTCCATGCTGCCACCTCCTTGGCCACAGGACATGGTGCAGTTTTCTTGACAAGTCCAGGAGGTGTGACATCACGCACACAGTGTCCAGCAGGGAGTGGGTACTGACTCGGGAGTCATTTGCCCCCGTGTCCCTTCTCTCTGCTGATGGGTATGTCCTGGGCCTTCACAGGGGCATCACCTTCCAATGGGCACCGCCAGGCCCTGGTGGCCCTTGTGACCCTCCTGGCCCCACGTCCTAATCCAGCCTCTTCCTTACCTTGTGCTCCTGGATCGAGTGTGATTGGAGTCGGGGGTGATCTATAAGACAGGAGGCAGGTGGCACGGTGGTCTGGGTTTAGAGGCTCCGGGTGTCAGTGGTCATGCTCTGTGCCCAACAGGATGGTTGGAGGGGGACGCCCTGGGACCGCCAAGTGGACAGTGGTTCTTGGCTCTTTTCCTGGGCTTCAGGAACCCGGCCATGTGGCCTCTGGCAGGAGAACTGCGTGTTCTGGTTCTGAACTTGCCGTCTGTCTGGAAGCCAGCTGAGGAAGTGGCCAAGGACAGAATAATGAAGTGAACTTTTAGCGTCGCTGTTCCTGGGACTTGAGGCCCTGTCTGACTCGAAGGAGGAGCCCTGGGTTTGGAGGCCACCCCTGGGAGCCTAGGGCTGTGCTTGGGCTGTGCTTGGAGACTGGATCCTCCCCTGGCAAAGGGGCCTGGTGTCCCCCATGCCTGCTCCTGTTCTTCAGAGGAGTTTTAGAGAGGAAAAACCGGGCCAGTGATTTGGGGGGAGAATATTTCACTTTGTTGATTGCTTGTGATTTTTTTTCTGAATGAATCGCAGGACCTAATATATATATATGTTTCCCCCCTGTTGCTTCTGAAATGTATTATCTCTATTTCAGTGTTTTCCCATAACTAGCGTGGCTGCAAAACTGCGAGAAATGTAACATTTGGTAATTTGGGTTTCGAGTCAGATTGAGAGTGTGAGCTTCATCTTCGCCTAGTTTTAAGGATTGTTAAACCTGATATAAGTATGTGGAATTGCCACTTTGGGGGTAGGGAGTGTTTTGAACTCCAGTGAATGCAGATTGGCACTTGCTAGCTGGGCATATCTGTCCCACAAGGGGTTTGTGAAGAGATGCAAAATGAGGAATCAGACCAAAGTTTCATTCCCAGCTTTGTCCATAGCAGCTGTGTGATGTTGGTGACTTCTAGGATATTCTTGTGCCTTCCGTGGGTACAGTCCCATGATTTTAGTATTCATACTCAAGCCGGATGAGGAGGTGGACAGAGAATGTTTTTTAAAAAAAAAAAAAATATATAAAAGACAGTTGCAGCCGCTGCTTGGAGCTGCCTGGTTTGGTATGGATCAGACTCATTTGTGGCTACCCTCCATCCCTCCCTTCGCCCCCAAGTCTGGTGAAGACTTGACTGGCATTTATTTAGTCTTTTGATCAAAACATAATTAAAAAAAAAAACATACACACAAACACATACATCAGCCTCTCTTCTGTTGCCCCTCTCCCTCCCTCACCTCTCTTTGGCTTTAAATTGCAAAAACACTTGAAAGTTTAGACAATAAAGGGGAAGGGGGAAATCTCCCTTTTCCCCCAGAAATTTAGCTTTCATTTTAATTTTCTTACATATTCCTTTCCAGTCTAGGTGTTGAGAGCGGGAGCATCGGAGAAAGATAATCTATGTCCAAATTCTAGCCCCTTCTCTCTCCTTAGGGGGCCATGAGATCTTGCAACAGTTTCCAGAATGTTTCAAACCTTAGCCATGGGGAGGAATACAGAAAATTCTTTACCCTCCTAGAGCCTCCATTTCCTGCTGTCCAAAGGAGGGGCCAACAGACTTATAATACTTACCTCGCTGGGAAATTTTCACCTGCGCCAAGGCACCCAGGGTAGTGCCTGCTGCAATAAGTGGCCCATAAACGCTAACTGTCATTGGTCACTCTGCACACACTGTTATATGGTTGTCATTACGGGGACCTATGATGGAATCACCTGCTTTTATCTACTTAACCTCAGAGGCCCGTGGCCACATCACCGTATTTCATATTCAGTTGTTGTTTTGTGCAGATGGTTCAAGTTCCATGGTGGAGATGTACTGTGACTTAATGGTCCCCTTCTTGTTGAATTCTCTTTGGCTTTTTTTGCTTCTACCGATCAAAATATTTAGAATCATTTAATGATCCGTAATCCAGATGGCAGAGATACAGGGTGGCTCCAGGCTGAGCCCCCGTGGCAGGGCCGAGGTCTGCGGGAGGACCAGCTTCCCCGCCTCCTGAAGGATGGACGTCCTGGAGCAGAACTGTCACCGTCTTCCTCCAGAGAGGGAGTTGGCCCGGGCCTTCTTGAGGAGTCACGAAGCCCTTTCTCTGGTTGTTTAGAATGACTGGGGAGGGGAGCGAAGGGGGCCATGTTCTCACTTTGGGGGCTGATGGCCTCAAGTTTGGAATGGAGAAAATTACACACTTAAAAGGAGAGAAAGAGAGAGAGAGAGAGAGAGAGAGAGAGAGAGAGAGAGAGAGAGGAGGCTTGCCCTTTCTGCATGGCAGGGAAGAACTTGGAGAGGGTGGGGTGCGAGCCAGCAAGCCTCTATTTTGTATCCACAACCAGGGCCAAGATTTCCAGAGGACAGGAAGAAAGTTTATCCTAAAGGTAATAAAATCACGTATCCTAAAACCTGAGAGGCCGGAGAGGACGAGAACAAAGAAATCACACCTGGAGTCGGCTCTCCTGGCGGATCCAGTCTGAGCACCCTGCAAGCTTCCAGCCAGGCTCTCCCCAGCTCTGGTCACCACGGATATTCAGTCTCACCCTTGCGTTCTTCCATGTGACATTTCAGCATGTTAACATTTTTTCTGGGTTTTTCATGTTTCTCTTAATCATTTTTAGATGCCTAATTTTCATTAATTTGATATAAGATAGCTTATCTCTTATGCTTATACTCTCATTTATTATATAGCGTGTGTGTGTGTGTGTGTGTGTGTGTGTGTGTGTGTGTGTGTGCAGTGTTGGAACCCAGGGCCTATGCTCACATCTAGGCAAGAGCTCTCCTGCAGAGCCACACCCCAGCCCCCAAATTAGCCTTGTGCTGTTCGTCCACTGTTGGAAATGGTGCTCACTGTGGTGAGCATGAGGCTGGCCGTGCCTTTTCCCCTGTTTTGAGAAACTGCTGTGGGCTGGATTCTCAGAAGTGACATCGCTGGGCTGAAGGGTGGCACCCTCTCTGGCCCGCACACAGACGGGCCCCTTGTTTTGCTGAAGCTCAGCACCAGCCTGCTCTCCCTGGCAAGGCATGAAAACTGGGACTTTATTTTAGTCTTGGCAGCATTAAGTAATCTCTTTAAAAAACATTTTTTTTTTCTGGTTAATTTAATAGCTGAAAACAGTTCATATATTTTATTTTATTTTTCTTTAACTAACGAGGTTGAATGTTTTCCCATACCTCTATTTACTAGCTGTATTTCCTTGTGAAATGTCTATTAATGGACTAAAATGAATGTCCATCTGGTTTAGCACTTTAACTTTTCTACCTGTGCTTCTGGGAGAACCCCTCTTAGAGTGTTGAGAAGAGGATCATTTGGGCACACTTTGGGTGTATTTCTGCTCTTGGTTAGTGGATTGCCCTAAGCGATCATTTTATTCAAATCTCTCTTTTTTTTTTTTCTTGTCTTCCCTTGTAATGAAAGGAGTAGGGGTACATTTTAGGAAAACACGGAGGTTCCGTGAAAACACACTGGCCCTAGGGTGCGATGGTGTGTTCTTGTTGGAGCCTCCTCTGGGCCACATTGTCCCAGGAACTGGGTGTTTTAATGAAATCATTAGATGGTCACAGAAGCCTTATTGGGAAGGAACCGTTGTAGTCTCCAGATGAGAAAAACCCAGACACCGAGTGCCTTGTTATCCAGAGCTTCCCTGGCTTACCTGCTGGCCTGGAAAATAAGTCATTGTACCCTTCCCTCCATCAGAGACCCACGGGTACTTTTTGTCTGTACCTGCTGAATAGGATCATGTGGGTTGAATGGCATCATGGCAGGATTGTGACTGTCAGTCAGCTTTCCATTACTATAAGGAACACCTGAGACCATCAACTTATAAAGAGAAAAGGGTTACTTTGGCTCACAGATTTGGAGGTTTAGTCTATGATCTATTGGGGTCTGTTGCTTGGGGCCTGGGGCAAGGAAGCACATCATAGCAGAAGTGCATAGTGTAGCAAAATTGCTTACCTTGTAGTTGGAAAGCAAAAATTAAAAAAAAGAAGGAAAAAGCCAGGTCCAGCTCCTCAGGAGTCCAGGGCCAGCCTTGCCAACTGAGTAAGACTTTGTCTCAAAATGAAAAATATCTGGGTTCAGTCCTCAGAGACCCTTCCGAGAAAGGAGCGGCCCCCCCCCTGTCTTTTTGTTTGTTTTGCTGGAGTCCGGAGCCTTGTGTCTGCCAGGCAAGTGCTCCACAGCTGAGCTCCAGCCCCAGCCCCAAGCCTCCTAACTTAAAGGTCCCATCTCCTTCTAGTCCTGCCACTCTGGGGGATCCAATCTTTCACACACAGGCCTTTAGGGACATTGAAGATCCAAACTACAGCAATGACTAACCTACTTTTCAACAAATTTAGACACATCAATAGTACTTTTCTA